CAGTAATCTGTTTCTGACAGAAGCCAACACTATGGGAAGTACATACAAATACAGTAACAACTACACGTCCTCAAAAATATTTTCCTGAGCCTTCAGGTGACTTCCTCAGTCAAAGAAATACCTCTCTTTGGTATCTTTGTTATGCTAACCCATGACAGATATTTATTACATTAATTTGTCCAGTCTCTTTTTGAATCTATTTAAATTTTACCACCAATATCCTACAGGGGCAGTAAGTTTTGCAAATTAATTACACACTGCATGTAGAACCAACACCTTTCATTTGTTTTGAAACTTTTATCTGATGACATAATTTGATGCCTTCTAGTTATGTTGAAAGGGACAGTCAACTATGAATCCCTTTTCACACTATCCCCTTTTCACACTATCCATGCACTTGACATTTTAGTAATTTCTCCTATAGAATCTGCATCTCACAGAGAAGACACAACTTTTATAATCTTTGTCATCCTTTTAGAAACCTTTTCCATTTCCCCAATACTCTTTTGAGATGGAAGGATTTGACTATATAACGAATTAAAAAGGTAAGTGCAATTTGGATTTGGGCAGCAGCATAATTGTGCCTTCTGCATTTTTCTTCATTCTCTTAAGGGTCCCTTTTGACTTTAAATTTTATTTTGACCCCTTCTGAGCATTATACTCATGTTCACATAACTATTTATGATAAACACCAAAATGTCTTTTTTGAGAGGCAGTATCTAGTGCAGAGGATACCATTTTTCTTGCTTCTTTCCCTTCACATGTGCATCACTTTTCCTTTTTGGAATTGCATTGCCATTTTAACTGGCTCTCTATTTCAAGGTCTTCTCCTGCAGCTCTCTGCACCAGTCTCATCTTTTTTTACATTGAGTAACTTAGTATTATCAGCAAACTCTATTGCCTTTGTGTTGATCCCCTTTTTCTGTTTATTTATAGACATCTCAGACAGCACAAGACCCAGCAAGGCTGCACTACTAATCTTTCCAATATGAAACCTGATGATTTTTAAAACTTATTTTGGAAATTCAAGTATTCTTTATCAACCAGGGATCCCTTGTTCACACACTTATTAGCTACTTCAGAGAACTCCAATGATTTTTGAGACATGACTTCCTTTAATTAAAACCCTTCTCTAGCATATCATGCTTGTCTGTGTTACTCATACACCTAAGCACTGCCAAAGCTCTGCTGTACTGCACCTAACTTAAACTGAAAAGCTGTCCTTCTGGGATAAACTCTTAAGTTGCTCCAGCCTGTGTCAGAGACTAGAACAAAACATGACCTTCTAATTTCTCTGCCTAATCAGCTGACACAGTGCACCAGGGGAACATCAGACAGCTGTAATCACGGTAGGAAAATCTGGTCATAAATTACTAAACCATAATCTGTCTAATTTGTCTCCTGATTACATCCACATCTAGTAACACTTTTATGTGTCAACCTGCCTACTGATTAAATTTAGATTATTCAAGTATGCAACTATTTATTTGATACAGAATCTATAATTACACATATAAATCTCATCTAATGTCTTCTCGTGGTTTCATTTAACAGATTAAAAAGAATGTTTACTTACCACAGCTTTCTGGTATGTGTGAATTCATAAGACCAAGTTCCCAAGCCCTTTTTATAAGTGGCACAGGATACTGAAATAGACATGGAAAAATCACGTTCTGAGTCACCACAATCAAAACTTTAAATTTTAAAGGTTAAGATAAAAGTCTGGCTTTGTCCAATTTTCCCCTTACGCTATGGTAGATTTACCTCTCCGCTTTTGTCATATTGTGCAGCAACAGGAATAATTTCTTCCACAGCAAATTTACGAGCTGTAGCTTGAAACTCCTTCTGTTCGTCAGTAAGTTCTATTTTAAAAAAAGAAAAAGAAAAAAAATCACAAATTCTCTACTGTCTTTAATTTTACCTGTTGTCGAACTATGATAAAAGAGAAAATAAGAGCGTCCTTCCAGGACAACCCAAACCACCACTTTTTGGGGCTGTCCAGAAAGCGAAAAAACTGTTTCCTCTTCTTCCTAGGAGAAAACCTCCATTGTTCTCTCATCCCCACCTACAATGCACTTGCTTGCATCTGATGAAATTATCCACAAAATATTGAAAATGAAGAGGACTGTGTAACATAAAATGTATTACCAAAAGAAACAAGAAAAATGCTGTGTTAATAAATAGAGACAGAGGTCATCCAGAGATCCTGACTCTTCAGTTTCAAACATCTAGCTCTGACCTACTAAATTTGCTTTATGTATATAATATGCCAAGCTGAGGATGAATTTTCTTTTTTACATTTCTTTATAACGAAGTTCAACTATGACTATATTTAGGTACCTTAACACTGCAAACAACAATATGAGATAATTATTCAAAGCTAAGACACTTTGGCAATAAAAAAGGACAGACATGAATTAAAAAAAGAAGAAACTCTTAAAAACACTACACACATACCTGCCTTGCCTGAGCTGAGGACAAAAGTAATTTTGGTTTTCAAACTTTTTTATTAATAGAAATCTATTTAGGATAAACACCATTTTAAGTTCATGGTGAAGTGCAATATAGGATATTATTCTTTTTAAATCTGCAATTTGTCCATAATTGCTATATTTCTTTAACAACTGTACTACTTACCAAAGCTAAAGCCAGCTCCAGGTTTGCCTATATGAAAGTTTTGAGCAGGTTTACTAGAATGTGACCTCCATCCATGTCCTGCAATGGTTTGAAGCACTTGCTAAAGAAGAAAAGAACATAAGGTGTAAGATCTTTACAGCTCAAGTCTCCTAAAGCTACTTGCCTGCCTGCAGCACAACTTTTAATGTAGACTCCCTCTCTAGAAACAGTATCAGATCAAATATAATTAACTACAGTGGTAAAAGAATTATTGGCTAGCTTGTGTTTTGCTCCTGTGACACTCTGCCAGGATTCTCAGGCTTTAACAGCACCAAGGGTGGGTGAGCTGCCCTATACATTTTTAACTATTGTGCATTTGATTATTTTAAAATAGTTAAGCATATAGCAATATATATTTCTTTAATTTATACACTCACACATCAAACTTGATTTTCTGGCCCTCTACTGAATATCCTATTTACCCATTAGCAAAAAACACCCTACCTATTAACCAATATATCAGAATATTTTGATAATGTCCCAGACTCATCTCTGCTTTCTTTTATAAGCTGGTGCCATGGACACTGGGTGATTATTGTTATTATACTCCAGATGGGAGAGAACACAGCAGACTATCTGAAGTTTATTTTCCTTCCTAATACTGATCACAAATTTATTCTTTTTCATTGTAAATACTTTCTTTGCTTTTTGAAGTTTAGTACCCACAAATATTGTTGTTAGAGCTGCTTTCAGAATGTCTTAATATTGTGCAAAAACATGTCCAAATTTAATTTTAAAAGGTTGGTTTACTCTCTTCAAGAGTTATAAATCTCTGAAATGTTTAGAAATTAGTGAAAAATATGTAATTGGATAAAATTTTAGGAAGACCCGAATTAATACTGCAAAAACAAAAAATTAGCCTAAACACTAAGAAAAGGCTTGTTCTTGATTTTCTTATGTGAAAATGTAGAAAATTTTTTTAAAAGTGTGATCAGACCAATCACTTATTTCATAACATTTAAAAGAAATTAATTAATGATAGTAATGCAAAAGAATATCACAGAAATTTTACTAGGAACTCTACAAGACAAGGACTACAGGTTACTCTGGAAAAACTCCGCAATCCCACCAAACACTGAAATACGAATAGGTGGGATATACAGCTGAAAGTTGCTTGACTGATCAAGTGACAAAGTATCAGGGTTTCCTACATGTAAGAATTTGTATAATTATCTGTCTACTTAGTCAACCTTCCTATTGCTTGACTCTGAGGAACAGTTACATTCAGTGACAAACTACTGCTAGGGATGCTTAGATGCAATTCCTACTGCATTTCCTTGCACTTTTGCATGAACTGTCAGAATCACAAATATGATCGTCAATGTGGTAAGACTAACACTGGAATAATGTGCTGTCAGGAAAAGGGTATGACAACACCATGCATGGAAGTGATGCAATCTTTATTACCTTAATGCCAAAAGTAGAATGGAAACTGTTTGGCAATATGCACATGACAGAACAAGCTAAGGGTCACCAACCTTGATCCTCCCTCACATATCTCAGAATAAAAATGAAGAGTTGCCAAGAGCAGTTTGTTGCTGGGGTAACGTGTCAGGTAATATGCGAGTTTTGAATACTTTTTATTTTCTGCTTTGAAGCTGTGAGATTATTGGTGGTTCAATATAGGAGAAAGTTTGTACTTCAGAAAAACAACTATTATACATCACACATATTTAAAAAAAATAGGTAGTACAGCTAAGTATGCTAAAGGATAAAATACCCCGAACTATAACCCCCAGTGTTTTGAAGCCGTCACCGCCGGTAGGTGGAAGGTGCCAGACATACACAGGGCTTTTCCAAAGACTGGGCACGGCGCGGCCTTTGGCCCATGAGAAGCCCCAGGGCTGTGCAGCAACTCCGCTGAGAACAGCCGATGGCAACACCCACTCGGACCGTGAGGATTACGGCCATAAACTCTCGGATAATACTGCGAGGCAGGAAAAGCAGCACAGCAGAGGGGTCGCAGCCTCGCCGGTTCTGCCCTCCGGGGCTGCCCCTGTGCCCGCAGCTGTCCCGGCGGCGGAACCCGGGCTGGCCCCGCCGCTTCCGTCCTTCGCCCTCCCTCGGCCTGCGGCCTTTCCCTGCCGCCCGGGACCCCGCCCGCCGGCGCCGGCAGCGCCTCGGTCCGGCCCGGCCGCCTCTTCTCTCCGGACCTCGTGTCCTCCGAGCGCTCACTCGGGCCGGACACTCACCCGGGTCACCCTCAGCGCAGCCATCTCGGTGTGGTTCCGGCGGCTCTGGCGGGGCGGGGCTCGGGCGGCCGGGGCGGTGCCGCGCGGGCCGCCCGCTGAGCCGGGGGAGGCCGGGCCCGGGCCGGACCGCCCCGCTGAGCGGGGAGAGCGAGCCCTGCTCCGGGCCGGAGAGCTCCGTCCTGCGGCCGGCCCGGCTCGGGGGCGAGGAGGGAGCGAGCGGCCCACCCGCACCAACGCGGGCAGGGTCTGTGTTTCACTTTCTGAGACCGAAAGGAAGGCGGCCCCAGGCTCGGCCGCTTTGCTGTCTGTGTGCCGAGTCTCGCGGGCTGGCTCCAAGCACCTACATCATCCACCTGTTAGCAGAAGAGCTCCTGTGAGCTGTTTTACTGTAATTTGCGCCTCAGGGCATCATAAACTCATGTTTTGGAGGTGTATCAGGAATAGGGTGACTGATAACCCCAGCTGACTGATAAGGATGTTATACACTGAGCATATTTACTAGCTGCAGGAAGTGATTTAAATACTACAGTGCTCAGAAATTAGATATAATTTCTAGATGCCTTTGAGATTAGGATCCATAGCCCTTTAGTAGGTAAATAAGCTCTTTTTTGCACTGAGGTGAAGAGAGCTTGGAATGGAGTTGAGGACATCCCTAAGGCAGGGAGACTGAATAAATCAGTACACTGAGGGAATGGTGACATCAGGAAGTAATGAAATACTGTTGAGTTTATAGAGTGAAATGGTTGTATAGACCTGATAAACATTTTAAGGGGTTTTACTTCAGGCTTGACAGAGTGCCCCCTATTAAGTGGTTGGAACACATTGGATGCACTCCTCCTAGATCATGTCTTCCAGTAAATTTAATCCAAAAATCAATTCATGTGCTTTGAAATATCTCTGTGAATCCAGTGAGGCACACTAAGTGGGGACAATTGGGAAACTCACCTCAGAACTACACTCCTGACCTGAACTGAACTGCTCATGTAGACAGAGTCTGGGAAGGTTGTTGTCCGAAACTGTCCAGTTGAGGAAATTGGGTCAGGAATACACGGTAACATTTGCCATTTTCAAGGTTTACCTTACACTAGAAGCATCTTTGCATATGAAATTTGCTACTTGCCTCTGAAGACAGATGTCTGTACTTTCTGGAAGCAAGCTTTCTTATTAAAAAGCTACTTAACTATCTGTGATCTCTTGCAGTGTTGTAGAGATTAAAGAATGGAAGTTCCAGAAAAAGGAAGGAAAGAATGCATGGAGCCAAGACAAAGGTATTCAAGGACATCTCTGCTAAATTACAGGAGCATCTGGGGTAAGGTACAAGAACCAACTGCTCATTAAGGTCACTGTTTAATGCAGCTTGCACTTATGAAGCTACATCCTTGCTCACCTTCCCCCACTCCTTCAAACTATTTTCTCACTGCCTCTCTTTACATCTCCTTGGATAAATGAATGAGAACTTTTTTGGCAATGTGTTGTCAACATAATTTTTACCAAGCCAGTCTGGAGAGGAAAATTCAAAGCCCAGGTGGTCCATGTCTACTAAGTTTTTAGGAACAGAGGGTTATGAAAGATGGCAAGGTTATCTGTCAAAGCCTAAACCAGTTGAACTGTGAGGTTCAAAATTATTTACATAAGGAGTGACAATAGATAGAAATTTCTGTAAGGTGTATTTAGAATTTTTGGCATTTCTCACAGCAGCAAGAAATACAGCATCTGTCTTTCTTTTTTATTTTCTCAAACACTTACCACTGTCACATTTCTTATTTAGTATTCCTCTGATCACTTTTACTACAGTAAAAATTGTATACTGCACAGTTTATTGCTTTATTAACCTAGAAGACTCTCTTATATACTAACCAGCAGAATGCATGTTGCTTATTGCTGATGTGTATAAATCAGCAAGTAAACACAGTAAGATTATTACATTACAAAGTGCATCTCATTGTCATGGTTTAGGAATGCTACTCTCCCACCGAAACCATGCACCACTCCCTCCTCTCCCTTCCCCTTCCCCTGTGGATGGAGAGGAGAATTGGAGGCACAAAAGGTAAAGATTGTGGACTGAGATAAGAACAATTTACTGGAAACAGCAATGACATAAGAAAACAAACAGCAACAATATTAATGACAAAAGAGGAGTGATTCACATGCAAGTGCTCACTAAAGAGCCTGACCTGATCCAGCCACACCATCCCAACCAGAAGAAACCCCTGAACCTCATTTCCCCCTTCCCCCCCCCCAGCGGTCATGCCCCTCTTGGCTACTGCAAACATTAACACTGTCCTGGCTGGAACCAGAAGGCTCATCCCTTAAAGTTAGCATCTGTATTCTAGGGTGAAGTGTTATGTTTTATTACTAATTATGACTTTTTTACAGATTGTTTTTTTTAAATTGCTAACAACGAACAGTAATTTACCATTTGTTAATGAACCTTCCTTTTAGAAATGAAAAGCAACTTGAATTTTCTGTGGTGCTCTAGAGTGTGCAGGGCCTGTGGGGTGATGCAGCAAGCATCAAGCTGGACCAGCCAGGAAGTCAGCACTCCTGAGGCAGGGAAGAGGGCTGGGATCTGGGCAGGTGTGCTGGGCAAATGTACATGTGCTTGGGCATCCAAGGAGTCTCGTGCATGTGCCTGCACTAGTCACCTTTTGTCTCTGGCAGCACAAGAGGAGGAGAGGATGTGGCTGCCTGTGCTCTGTTCTGGAGCTGAGGGTGGGTCTGTGTGAAGGTGTTGTTGTAGGTGCCTTGTCACTGGCACTGCGAGTGGCCGAGTCAGTGTCCCCTGTGTGTGTCTCTAGGACATGTGCTCAGCTGCACGACTGGCTGGGCCTGCACATGGGAAGGTGGCAGCCCTGTCCCCCTGCCTGGGCAGGGACCCTGCATCCCCAGCTCCAGCATCCCTGGGCTCCAGCAGCCTGGCAGGAGGGGTCCTGGAGCTGGAAGAAGTGACAGACCCTCCTAACACCCTCTGACATTTTTTAGCCATAAAAGGACTTTTTCTTTTCCCTCTATGGTGGCTTATTTTATTCAAAACTTTTTGATGAGGAACCTTCTGGATTGTTTTCAGAAATCCAAATAACCTGAAGATCAGCTGTATTCCCTCATTTTTGTGTCTGCCAACTCCTTGGGAGGTCTCCAATGGATCTGCAGTTTTCTGGATTTTCATCAGAAGTCTTTTCAAAAATGTTGAAAATGTTTATCACCTTCAAGTCTATATATGCATACGAGGCTTAAAGAAAATACTGGCTCTACATATTCTCTTCCTCCTCTTGGCCTTTAAAAAAAAAGAATTCTTTTTAGCATCTACACTTTTTGCAAATTAATGCTTAAACTCTTTTTTGGTCTGCCTTCCTGTGCTTTCACACTTAACCTGCCAAAGTTTATGATCCTTTATAATTTACTAATTTGAACACAACTTTAATCTATCAAAATATTCCTCCTTGTTTGTAGCTACTGTCCTTTTCATTCTATATAGTCATGCTGACTTCCTTTTGCCATTTCTCAGGCCCTTCTGAGAAACATGAATATACAAAGATGATGGGCTGTCTCTCAAAGTGGTCTCCTTACATAACCTTCTGTGTATCTGAATAACTGTTTTGTAGTTTTTAACACTAGTCTAACCTTCTGTATTCTTTTTAGCAAGTTTTCTATTTTAGTTTAGTGGATTTTTAAGTTATCCCTTGGTTCTGGTAGTTAGAACCAAGTCAAAAGTTACTTCTCCTGCAGAATTCTACATTAACTTCTTATTGTTAATAATAATTTTATATTGTTCTATAAACCCTAATGAAAAGAAAGAAAGAAAAAAACCTTTGCTAGAGTGCATGTGATTATTTTTTTGTTGTCAGAACTTGGAAGTGCTGCGTAAGCATACCTTATCTCTGGTTGTTAGTCATAGCCCTACATCTCTCTATCTCTCTCTCTCTCATCTGTCTATCTATCTGTCTATCTATCTATCTATCTATCTATCTATCTATCCATTTCAATCTATCTTGTGTTAAATATAACATATGCTTTAGGATATATAGAGAGCATATATGTTAAATATAACATATGTTAAATACAATATATAATAAATAATATAAATACTATAATATATGGACTGTATAATATATACACAATAATATAGACACAATTAAGGCATTGTATATGCTGTGTATTACATATAATGTATATACTGTATATTTAGTATGTGATATCTCTGATAGCTGATATATTTATTTGTAGAACAGGCTATACTAACTCTATTACCTATGGTTTTTTTACTGTTGAGATTCCAATGTTTATTCTTGAACATAGGCTATGTATAGATACATCCCTCTGCACAAGGGGAACAGAAGAACATGGAGCTGTAGAACAATACTGAAGCTTCCCTGAGAATGCTACATCAGCTCTGACTAGCAACTCTGGTCATGCCCTGCTGCCTTTAGGTTGCTATGCCTTATCTGAACAAGCCAGAAGGCATTAACAAACCTCCTTCCTTCTTACAAAGCTGTCCTATGCTGCTTTTCTCACGTTTGACTCAGTCTTAGACACAAGAAGTTCTTCTATAGATGAGATTGTCTGAATTGTTCTCTTTGTCATCATCACTGAGATGAAATTAGGATTTCTTCTTAGATAGTGAAGTGTGTCATCCATTTTCCACATGAGGTGGAAACACACACCTTAGGTAGCTAGGCTAAGTATGTGGCTTAAGAGGATAGGGGGACTAGGTTAAGAAAGAACTCTCATTAAATTTGCAAACCACCAGCAGTGCACAGAATCATAAATCTCTGCCCAGGTAATATTCTGATGAAGTGGGATGACTGGAAGAAGCAACTACTCATTTTAAAATATAAAAAAAAATTGCATTTCAAAGTATAAATTCTCACAGTTTAAGGAGGAAGAGGGGGTAATAACTCCCCCCAGTGCTTCCTCTACTAGCAGATAAAACTGCATATGTGAAATTCAGTAATTATTAGAGCAATTGGCCTGGACTGAGACCTCTGGAAGGATGGATAAAGTGCTACATATGCCTGATTTAATTTTCTTGTAACTAGCCAAGGCAGTGAGCACTGCAAGACCTGATGATGTACTGACTTTGTAGGAGGCACATACCCTCACTAATGCATATATGATTGGTTTACGTTTCGATACAAGCATAGCAGCAACCTCCATGGTCTGTGCACATTAATTTACTCATAAATAAAAGAATCATGTGCTTTTGAGGGTCTTAACCCAACTTTTGAAAGGGTACCTTTATTTGCAAGCCTTGGAAAGTAACTTTTTCTCAAACTGCTCATATCTGAAAATGTAAATGATGGCCTAGAGGTGCACCTCTGTCATTTCAGAATACTGTTATGTGTAATAATACATTATGTTACAATATGTTACAATAATAATACAAAATGTTACCTGTGTTTTACTTAGTGACAACAGACTAATGGCAACGTGACATCTGAATACAGTGTCCTTTGCTGTAGTAATGATTTGTGCTGTCAAAACTGTGAAAGAAACTCAGCAATCAGACTAATTGCTCCTAAGTGGCTATTACCCCACTCAGATAAAACAAAGGGAGGTGGATGTCAACTGAAGGAAAGTTTACGACCAGAAATCTGTATTTGACAGGACTGAAACTGTTTTCTGACTGAGTCATGAAAATGCCCCCAGCCCGAAACAACACGTTCCCCCCCGTCGGGAGGCAGACGCGCGGCTGTCGGTGGTCACACCCGAGCGCTTCGCCCTTCCCCAGCCCCGGGGGCCCGTCAACTGGTCGCCCGGGCACGAGGCCGCTGCCCGCCCGGCGCTCAGCACGGGCGGCACGGACAGCTCCGCCAAGGGAGGCGCTTCCCGGCGGGGCCCAGGAGGACGGCAAGCGGCCCCAGGGCCGGCCGGCCGCTTCCCACCAGCGGCAACACCTCCGGGCTCTGCGCAGGGCACGGGCACAGGCGGGCAGCGCACCCGGCTGCGGACATCGGCAGTTGGTGCGGGAGGATGGACACCGGCCCGCCAGGTACAGCCCCGCCGGATGCCGAAGTTGCCGCCGGGCCCAGGCGAAGTTGGCGAGGCGCGGCCCGTCCCGGCGCCCCTCGCCCGCCCCCCTCCCCGCGGCCTGGGCACCGGCACCGCCCCCGCGGGTCGGCGCAGGCGTCGCGGCGGAGCCGGCGGGACGGGAGGGTGGGTGCGGGCGGTGCTGCGGGCGGCCGCGGCGGAGCGGGGCGGAGCGGAGCCGAGTGGAGCGGGAGGCTGCCCGGCCGCCGCCGCCTCTCATGCCTTCACGGCAACAAAGAACGCGCTGAGCGGCGGGCGGAGGCGCCGGGCCCCTGGCTGTACCCCGGCAGTGCCGGCGCGGAGGGCACCGGGAGACGATGGCGAGGAAGGGCGAAGCCTCCGCTCATCTCTACGGTGAGCGCGGGGCACGGCGGGGCGAGCGCCGGTGCTGGGCGAGCGCCGGTGCTGGGGCGAGGGCGGCCGGCGCCTGTGCCGCCTCCGGCCTGTTTACAGCGCGGATCCGCCCGGCGGGCAGCGGCGGCCAGAGCCGGCCGGAGTTTGTTTCCCTCGGTGAATGCGGGGGGCGCAGAGTCCCCCGTGTCGGAGGGAGCCCCCGGGACGCCGCAGCACCTCACCTGGCCCGGAGCAGGCAGGACGGTCGGTTCGGGGAGGGATCCGGTGGGTGTAGGGATGGGTGCGGGCAGGGCTGGAGCCTCTGCCGCCGCCCCCGCCGCGGGAACAGGTGCGTTGTGGCCGCTTTGTCCCCGTACTGGGGCGGAGCGGAGCCGGGGCCGGGCGGCAGGTGCGCGGTCTGGGCCGGGCCGCGGGGTGCGCGGGGCGATGTGCGGGGCCGGGGGCCGCGGGCTGTGCGGGAGCCGCCGGGCCGGAGGCGGAGCCCGTGGGGCTGTGGTACCTGCGTGCTGCTGGTGTTTGGGGTGCGGGCAGCGGCAGCTCCCGGGGGCAGCGCCCTGGCTGGTCCTGCCAGCCGACGCCCGGGAAGGTCACCGGGGGCAGAACTTGGTTTGGGTGTCGGGCTTTAACTGCTCCTTGTGATGTATTTGCGACAGGGGACACGGCGTTTGCAAAGCTAAGAGCCTGTTTGAAGGTGTTGCTACAAAATCGATTTCCTCTTCCAATGTGCGCGAGATTTCCATGGCAAAACAAACGTGCAGAATGAGCAAACCGCCTTAAAACAAGGCTGCAGCTCCGGGAGCCCCGAAGGCCTCCTGCAATGGGCCGAGTTACACAAATGGCTAAACACGGCTTGGTAAAGCCTTTGCCTCCGTACCACAGGCGTGCTGTGTTTTACACCTCGGAAAACCCTGTTTTCTAATTCATTGCCATGGTCTGAACGTTCTGACTAAAAGAAAATCCATGGCTTGTCTTCCTTCAGAAAAAGAAAACGGGGAGGGAAAACAAGCCACAGAGAAAGTGTTTCAAAGGTGAAAATAAATTGGTGAGTCTGAAATCATTTAACTTACGAGAGAACGTATTTCTACTCCTATGGAATTCAAATGGTTTTGCAGGTTACTGCAGAGAGAGAGCAGGCCTAGGACCATAGATGTTCAGTACTGATGGTAGAAAGAGGTGTGGAAGTATTATTCTGAAAGAAGAGCAGGAACACAGTATTCAAGAAGGGGAAAACACCTTTTGAATAGAGTTCAGTAAGTGCTACGTATGCTTCCTTACTTCCTTACTCTGTTAAGAAAGCCATGACAGGAGATACCAAGTGTTGTATTGTCATAATAAAATAATTTTTAAACTTCATTTTCAAAGCATGTTACAAGGGTAAGAAAGGGTCATTCTTTTTTTTTCAACTTCAGGGAGGAGGGCAATGTTTTGAAGAATTATTCTGCCTAGAATTTTTGCTACTTGAGCTGTTTCATGGGTGTGTTTGCTTCCTTTTATCTCATTTGCATGTGTGGATTTTGTTAGTGGTAGCGTGTATCATGTTACTACATTTGCAGAAATCTTAAGCAATTGCTCTAGTCTTGTGTTGGGAAGCAAGGTTCTTTCCCCCGTTAGATCATGTAATGTTAAAGATTTACAAAACGGAAAGTGCAGCATTTTCAAATTGAGCATATATAATATGATTTTCCTTTCAAATTAGCTTGCTGTAATAGTTATTCTCTTGACTTTGTTGTCTTTGCCAGTAACAGGTTATTTATTAGCCTGCAGGTATATTTTTCAGAACTATCGATGTCCTAAACTACTCTTCTTGGAATCTCAAGGATTCCTCAAAGTTTCGGCATTTATAAATGACAAAGGCAAATTCTTCTCAAAGTTTTGGTCTTTTAACTTGTGTCGTCAGTCTGATTCTTTAGAATAGATGAGTCAAGTCTGTGGTTGACAGGTGGGATCTTTATTTTTTAACCAAAGTAGTACTTTTCTTTCATGTGACCGCAGTATTAAGTGCTATCATGTGACTGTTGAAATCTGTGGTAAAATTATTTTTTACTTCATCACAGAATCAGACTCTCAGCAGTGATTGTACAATAAGGAATTTCCTGTAGCAGTGAACTGCAGTTCAGTTGTTACCTTACAAATGCACACTGAAGGCCAGATGGATGATGACATCTTAAAAAAAAACTTTATTGCTGTTTTAAGAAACACTGAGAAGTATATGAAGTGCCCAGTTTTATTACTCCCAACTGAAATGCATCTAGTTTTTTTATATCTGCATGTTTAGATACTCTTTAGGAAGAACTACTTACCTATGATTTCTTTTGCCAGTAATGGGTGCAATCAAAACTTGAGTCTATAATTGTCATTCCTAGTTACTGCTATGAAGTGAGCATGTCAAGTTTCTCCTAAGAAGAATTCTACCTGTTTATGTTCCCAAGCTGGGAAAGTTCTTCTGTTTCCCTTGGGAGAGCTTTTGAGGAACTTTGAAGCTTTCTATCCAGATGGTATTTCTTGTCATTTGGCCTGCATTTGCCTTTCTTAATTTTCTCCATTTACACATAAGTCCTGTGCAGGAAGGACATCCTGGATCTAAGGAAAATGGGCTATTTAGCCACAACAGTGTCATATGATGTGGAAGCTATTGGCCGTGACACTACTGCAGATAAAGCCTCCTTAGCTTCTGCTGGTAAATCCTTGTGTGTCATGGTACGTAGTTAATTTTGCCTTCTGAGGTTTGGATTTCATATGAGTGGGGTATGCTCATATAAAAAATGAAACTCAGTTTAACACTTTATTAATATTTTAATATACTCAGAAGTGGTGGAAGTAGGTGAAACTCACCTTTACATTCGGGTGGCTTAAACCTTTCTTCCTCTGATGTAAATTTGGTCCGCTTTATTTAGGCTTTGCAGAACATGTTTTAGGTGGGATAAATCATTTACTCTTTAAGCACATCTGCTGAACCTAGGTACAGAGCTTCAGCCATGCCAGATTTTGCTAACATCCTAGTTTTGCATAAAACAAATCACTGTGGAATTAATGTAGGGACCTGGGGACAAAAACAGAGAGAGAATTTTAAAAGCAGCACTTTGTAGTATGTTCCCTGTTGTTTTTTATTGCAGATAGGTCTCTTTGAGTGAAAATTTCCTTTCTTAGCATGCTACTTCATCTTGTGCCTGGTTCTGTGGTAATGTCCTCCACAACATCCTTGTCCCAAGAGTTAAAGTAAATGGTTCAGTGTCCCAGTGGAAACTGGTAATGAGTGGTATTTGTCCTGAAACCACTGCTATTTAATATGAACAAAATAGACAGAGGGATCAAGTGTACCCTCACCAAGGTGAGTGGTGCAGTTGATACTCCAAAAGGAAGAGATGCCATACAGGGGGGCCATGACAGGTTTGAGGACCTTCAAGCTTCTTGAAGACAAGCAAAGCCAAGTGCAAGGTCCTACACCTTGGTCAGGGCAATCCCCACTATCAGCACAAGGTGGGGGCTGAATGGTTTGAGAGCAGCCCTGCAGAGAAGGACATGGGGTTACTGATGAATGAAAAATTGGGCATGACCTGGCAATGTGCACTTGAGCCCAGAAAACCAGTTGTGTCCTGGTCATCAAAAGAGTTGTGACAGCAGGTTGAGGGAGGTAATTCTGTCCCTTCACTCCACTCTGGTGAGACCCCACCTGAAGGTACTGCATCTATTTCCAGCATTCCCAATACAAGAAAGACACGGATCTGTTGGAGCAGGTCCAGAGGGGGGCCATGAAGATGATTAGAGGGCTGGAGCACCCTTTCTGTGAGGAAAGGCTGAAAGAGTTAGGATTGTTCAGCCTGGAGAAGAGAAGGCTATGTAGAGACCTTATTGCAACTTTTCCATATGTAAGGGGGGTTTATAAGAAAGGTGGAGTGTTGTTGTTTTTTTTTTTTTAACCGAGGCTTCTATTGATGAGACAAGGGGCAATGGTTTTTAACTGAAAGAGGGTTTAATTTGGACATAAGAAAGAATTTTTTTTACCATGAGGGTGATTAGATGTTGGCACAGGTTGCCCAGAGAAGCTGTGGCTGCTCCATCCCTGGAAGTGTTCAAGGCCAGGTTTGGATAGGGCTTGGAGCAACCTGGGATAGTGGAAGGTGCCCCTGCCCATGGCAGGGGCTTGGAATGAGGTGAGCTTTAAGGTCCCTTCCAACCCAGGCCATTCTGTGATTCTATGAAAATATGAAAAGTACTGCATACCAGAAATGGTTTGGTCAGTAAGTAAATAGGCAATAAAACTGGTAGAATTTAGTCAATACAGTTTTTGCTCACCTGGTGGTCTAGTGCTTCTTTGTATTTCTTGAGCCAAAGTAATTACTCTAGTTTCCGGTCCAGTTAAGAGTCTATAGTATCTGAAAGCATCCAAGCTCTAATTTGTTATCCTTCAGCACTTGAGTGTTGTACATCTTCTGGCTTATTGACTTAAGCCAAGCCGTTCTTGGGAATAAGGTGTTGCTCAGCTGCGAACAGGGAGGACACAAGCAGAAGATCTGTAGATAAGGAGATTAATGTAACTGTTACACAGAGTTATATGCTATCGAGTTGATTATTTATTGCTGAATGGTATAGCTGTCACTGAACATTACC